AGGCGGCAGCCGCAAGAGCCGAAGGCACTGGCGGCGGCGGCCACGGCAGTCAGGGTGGAGGAGGAGGAGGAGGAGCGGCTGGAGCGGGAGCATTTCCGGAGGATCATCAACGCCTTCCGATACTACGGGTAACCGAGACCTGCCGGCTGTTGTGTGGGGCCCCGCGAGGGTCCCCTCCCGCCCGCCGCGTTCTCCTCTCACCGGCCAGCCTCCGCAGCGGTCAAGGGCTCGCCCTCCGTGGGGGCGCCGGCTCCCAGAGCCCTTGGCTCTTCCATGCCTGCCGAGAGGCCGCTCCCCGGGGTCCGTGCGCCGTGGGGAGCGCCGTGCCCGTAGCTAGGTACAGAAACCCGAGTGAGGAGAGGATTGATACTCCGTATACTCTGGCATATACTCAGGATACGCACAAAGTCGCATCGGTGTCTGTCAGCTAGGAAGCATGAAATTTAAAGAAACCCAAACAAACAAACAAAACCAAACAAACAAACAAACAAAAAAAACCCCAGACCATCTCGAAATACGACGCCCCTGGAAAAGCTGTGAAAGGTCCCTTTCTATAAGATAAAGTGCTTTAAGACTCTGTAAAGCACTCAGAACAGCAGCAGCTCCTGGCAGAGAAATGCAAACTCTTTCACGCAGTTTCGATTATCGAGAAATTTTTGAAAGACGTGTCAATTTGCACAAGAGCTAGGACGTGTTGATAGGACTAATGAAAGTCACTTTTTAAATAGCTTTAGATATTTGTTGAGTCAGAAAAGGCCTTGGTGGCCCCGCAGGAATGAGATAAAGCGTGAGGGGGACGCGACTTTCTATCTGAATCCATTGAATGGATGAGGAAACAAAATTATTTCAAATTGAGGGGTGGGGGTGACTGGCTCAAAAAGTCCGCTCCTCGACAGTATTTTGATAAGCAGTTTTCTGAAACTGCTGTCCCAAAATCTGGGCTCTTTTGCCTGGTGCGCAATGAGCCGAAAACTACATAGAGTCGAGATAATTAATTCATATCTGCAGAGATGGGTGCTAGGCTGTAATTCCACAAAGCGGCCGCCCCTTGGTTGACACACAGTAAGCATTTATACATTCCGGGTGACGGCTCCCGGTGCTTTTCACTGTTCTGTTTGGGCACCCGCGTTCTCATCGGTCCTTGCGAGGTCGCGTCTCCTTTTAGTCACAGTAGCCTCTCTTAACTTCGTATGCTTACTGAGGAAGGGGCTTCTCTTGGTACGGGGCTTTTTCCTACTGGACAAGGGCTTTTACTCTGTTAATGCGGAGAGCTCACTCACGGTTCAAGTAGGTGTTATCTATCAGTAGCCTTTATTCCTGTGTGCGGTTATCTTGGTATTTCCCTGCTTGATGGTCTTACAGTGTTATCTCTCAGTATTCGTTTTAACCACCGTGTTGCTTCATCAGAGTTGCTCTGGCAGCTTTACCAGTTCCTTTATCCATTCCTGGTATTATTTCACAACCCTTTGGTCCTTTTATCAATTAAGATGTAACATTGTCCTCGGTTTGTAGTTACGCTGCACTGTATACTTATGTTGGTAAACCCCCATCATATGAATGATTAGAGTATTTCTTCCATTTACTTTTTTTATATCTTGGTGACCGTTTTATTGGATTCTGAGGACTCGTGTTTGAGCAGGAGGTTGGTCTTGGATGGCACTCCGGTGTCTCTTCCAAACTGAATGAGAGAATTCAGTTTGACCACACCAAATACTATGCTATTAGTGTTAGCAAAACAGCCAACTGTAATTTACTTATATCAGTGACGTAACTGTATCCTCAGATCTTAACAGCTAGGAATATCTTTCTCAGCCTCATGCTCAACTGTGACTCTGGGTTGCTTTTGAAAACTTCATTTTCAGTAAGCACATAACCAAAAGGATATGACTCACATTTCCAGAACAGAAATTGGATTATTTCTGCCTTAAAGAAATAACTCTGAATTTAAATGAAATGGCATATCTTGGTAGTTAATATAATTGGAAATGTCTGTATGAGTAAGGCAATAATACACTTTCAGGTGAATCAAGATTAAAGTTCTTGTCTTTGGGAGACATATGGACTTTTTTTGCGTGTGGTTGTGATTTCAGTGAATCATTCGTTCTGCTATAAGGTTGCAATTCAACATGAAAGAGTGTGGATTATAGTTCAAAGATTTTTTTCTGACAAAAGTTTCAAGAAGATGATATCAGGCTAAGCTGATGTGCTTTATATAGAGGATCAGTTTATTTTTTTTAATTGTTCCTGCTCTGTTCCTTGTTCCTAAATGTCATTTTAAACCAGTTATTGCAGCTATTGCAATGAACATGCCCTTCTCAGTAGCATATATGTAATGCTGAACATATTAACTGGTCATTTATCCAGACTGAGGGTGCAACTAAAATGGCAGCAGTTTTCAACCCTGTACTGCTGTATGCTAACACAAGAGTTTGAGAAACTGCACCATGGCTTGACCAGATAAAATTATTTGCTGCTGCCAAAAGGGGCAGTATCTCTTGTCCTGGCTTTATGACTCAGCCAACTTGACTTGCTAAACCATTAGAAATCTAAAGTTAAACAACTGTGGCAGGCCTGGTAAGTGCTTGAACAAAGTGGAGGGCAGAATTGTTCTGGGTGAGGAGGAGGAAAGAAAAAAACAGACCACTTAGGAGTAGATTCACCTTTTTTGTGGAACTTTTATTTTGGGGAAGTGGAAAAGTTATTTTCAGCTTGGATCGGTTATATGATCAAATTCACAATACTCATACTTCAGGGGAATATGCCTTTAAAAAAAGGTAGCTTAGTGTCTTGATGTGGCTGCCAGACTCCAGTATCATCCAGCTGTGTCTTTTTTTACAGCTCCTTTAGGAGCAATTGATTTTGAGGATCCCTATTCTCACTCCACATCTTGTTATTTCTGTCGCCAGAGTTTACCACACCGTTCAGCTATTCATTAAATTTAATTTGGATTTGTGAAACAATCTGATAGGTTTTGATGGGTTTGGGGCCTGGTTGTCAATTAAACTTTGTATGTCCAGGCATTAAGGTGTCATCACTTGTGTTTGAAGTGAGTGACTATGAAATTGTAAGAACATGACAATGGTTCTCTTAAACTCCAATGTGTTAAAAAGAGTGGTACTGTAGAACTAGAGCTTAAAACAAACATCTTGCCTAAAAAAATATTTTAAACTTGTTCTCTAGTAAGTCTGATAATTTTCTGCATCTAATAAAATGAGTAATTGTAATAGTTGTAGCTTAGAGTGAATTATTTATAATTAGTGTGTGTATTGCTTCTGAATACCTAAATAGCTTACACTTTTTTGCTTTTCAGAACGAATATGCATGAACGAGTGAACAGAACAGAGAGGCAGTTTAAATCTCTCCCAGCTAACCAACAGAGTCTTCTTCCTCAGTTCCTTCCTCACCTTGACAAGATTCGGGAGTGCATTGATCATAATCAAGAGATACTGCAGACCATTGTGAATGACTGCATTCATATGTTTGAAAACAAAGAATATGGAGACGTATGTTAAAATGAACTTTTTCATACTCCAAAATTAAATTCTATACACATTGGGGTATTCTACGTTTGTTTTTCACACCTTCAGGCCTCCTGACATTTTTCCTTTTGTCTTCTTTATTTTCTCCTTTTTTACTTCCTGTTTGCTTACATTTTCTTACTCTTGTCTTTCACATCTTGTAGAGCTGATGTTTAATAAAACTATTTATTGTTAGTCCTTGTAGTTACACATATGAAAACTAACTGTGAATCTGACAAAGACAGGAATCACTTTTTCACTGCAGAGTTCTTACTCCACCCTATTACTTTTTCACTTAACTATGTAGAACATAAATGGTATTGTCTGTCTTTCTATTCTAAATCAGTTACAATTTTAAATAGGCCAAGTATTTTTGGTGTTCTCATCTGTACTTTTTTTTAGCTGCTTTTTCAGTGTGTCATCTCTGTCATTAAAAAATGCACTCAGATTTAAAAGCCTGGCAGAGATGGAAACTGAAGGCCTTTTTTGGTATCTGCAGGCAAGATACAGTAAGAGCAGCTCTGCTGTAAGTTTTTCAGTGTTGCCTCATCGGTAGTACCTAAAGGGACCCTCTTCTCAGGGTAAGCAGTTCAGCGTCTGCGCTGGCTAAGCACTTGTCCTTTCCTGAATGGGGACTACCAGTTTTGCTCTGATATGCCATACTGTGTATTGATGTGGAACATGGTCTAGTGGGTGCCAAACTGAGATCAGAAATTGAATTTGAGCCCTGGTCCCAGGAATGAAAGGCAAGTGCTTTGTCACCTAAAACTCCCAACACCCCTTATAGGATGGCTGTTTTCTGTTTATAATTTCCTTTTTTATTTTCCCTCAAGACTAAAGATCCTTGGCACATTTTCCACTAACTTTTTTTTTCCCCCACTTTAATCAGGGAAGAGGGAAGATTACACCAGCTTCAACATTTGACATGGATAAATTAAAATCCACTTTGAAACAATTTGTGAGAGACTGGAGTGAAGAAGGAAAGCATGAGAGAGATTCCTGCTACCAGCCGATCATTAGTGAAATTGTAAAGAACTTTCCAAAAGAAAGATGGTAATAGTGTTTTAAGACTTATTTTTATGTGGGCATACATTTTTGCACGAATTTAACAAAGTTTTTATGGAGTAGTGAAAAGCTTGGATTTATAAACCTAGAAATAACTGTGAATGCAGTGGAATTTATTTTTTAATCAAGAAAGTTTTTGTTTCTAATACAAGGTGTGGGAAAAGAGCATAATCAAACTTCACAAAGGAATACCAGGTAAACCAGAAATAATTTACTTTTTTCCTGCAGCTTGATGTAATGGAGTATCTGCTAACTTTTCAAGTAAGAGATCTCAGGAGGTTGTGAAGTTAAATCAGAAAGGTAAAGTTTGCAGATTAGCAGATTCTTAGAGTGCATGTGCTGCAGATAAAAGGAAAGGACCCTTATGACAGCAGCGAATAGGAGTATTCCCCTTCATGATTAAAGGACGAAAAAGAGAAGACTCTTAACCTCTAGCACAGTTTCGTTGCCTTCAGAATTTAACCTGCACACACTTAATTTTAGCCTTGGTTTCAGACAGGTATTACAAGGCAAGTCTTAAAAGTTTTGCTGCATTGTGTGAGGGTAGCTTTCTAACTGCATTGGCTTGTTAACACCACCAAAATAGTCACTGGTGCAGGGCTTTTTAGGTAATTTTAAGTAGAAGTATATTGGTAGAATTTCAGAAGGTACTACTGTTGTAAAAATTCTGTGTTTAATGGTTCTGCTGTTTAGTCAGCCCAGTCATAAGGTATGCTTCAGTTTACGTAACACATTGGGAAGATTTGTGAACTTTGTACTCATAAATGTAGCAGGTCAGAACTCAGGTTTGATATAGCTTGGTGTTATTTGTCACTAATCACTAATAATGCACTTGTACAGATCTGAAAATACCTTCCACTGGCCATCTTTTCATTTTCATTAGTAAAGACTGTTAGTGGTGTAAGAACATGGAGTGGACATGGTTGGTTGGTTTCTCTTTTGCCTTAGGCTAACTTGTCTCAAGTTGGGTGCACCACTAGAAATGTTTTATCTGAAGGTGAACTTTCTGTAATGTTTTTAGTACTAATAGTGCCCTACGTAAGAAAAAAAAAAATTAAATACCATAGGTTACCTAATGTACCTCTGATGTGCAGATCTGTAGGAAAAGTCTTAGTTTTGAAAGTAGTCATTCTAATATTCAAGGTGGCAGTTCACCTTGTTCTCTGTATGGTAGCTTTTAAAGCACTTTGGTTATGGGAGAGGTAACTTAATTCAGATATGAAGAGATAACGTGACTAAAGTTGGACAGTCTTGACTTA